TTTCGTAGTTTTTTTTTTCTATGAAGGCTTTCGTAGCTCGAAGGCAGTTGGCACGATTGTTGAGCACGGTTGTTGCCGGCGTGATTGGTGAAATGGCTGTTCGGGGCAGCTTCAGCTTCCAATTCAGCCATTCTAATAGTGAAGTTGGCAACAACCGCGGGCCTCCAGTCATCATGCTCACTCCCTTCAACGCTTGAAGATGCAATCGTCTTGATTTTCTCACTTGTTCTGACTGAATGCATTCGCAGTGTTCGGCCAACGTCAATTAGTTTGCCTGGCACGTGCGGTACTGCGAAATGCGAAAGTGCTTGTGTTGGATGAAGCTACTGCTGCTGTCGACGTAACAACTGATTCATTGATACAGGTAGGTTGAAGATGGCTCCCACCCTGCTGTTTCTTCGTGTAAATGCTGTATTTCGCTTCAGGTAACCATTCGACAGCAGTTCAAGTACAGCACTGTGTTCACCATTGCCCATCGACTGAACACCATCATGGAGTATGACAGGTAAAAATTAGTTCTGATCCTTCTTTCCCGGCAAAATTCCGAAGATAATGTGATGTCCGGGAAATGCAAGTTAGTGAATTTCTCTGGGAGATGGACTTTTCCAAGAGCTGTTGTCGTTGTAATTCCATATAATGAGGAGGCCAGCTTTGGGTATGGGTTGCTACATCTACAGGGGGGGGGGCAAAAAAAAGTCACTTCGACCGAGTCACATATCAGCAAAGTTTTTGCAGCCCAGAGAGAAGATGTGGATACGAGTACCAGGGCGGAAGATACCCAAGATGTTCCTCGATAAGCAGGAGCTGACTGTTGCCCATCAACTTCATGTACATCAAAATGTGAATCATCTTCAAGTCGCAGCCTGACCAGGAGATGGCCTTTGGAAGTCAGGTCACCTCCAAACAGCTGCGAAACTTCTTGTATGGAGTCACCCATGAATAAGCTACCTGAAGACCAGTACTCTCAGTCTAGAAGACTCCAACATCGGAGCAGCCCCGACAACGTCGCTACGGTCTAGGACATCATCTTCACCACAGTCGTCAAGGAGCGGGTTGATGGTATGGACCGGACGTACCTGGAATGGAAAGACCAAATTTTCTTCGTGGACCCCGGACTGAAGGTGAGCGCTGGCGGTTACATCGAGCAACTCGAGAAGAATATCCTCTCCACATGTCGTCGCCCGTACCTTCTTGGAAACTTTGTACTGCTACAGGATTGGGTGACACCACATGGAATCAAAGCTTGGGAAAACTCTTGCCACTTGGGTAATGGAAGGGCGTTGAGTTACCGTGAAGAGGCGGAATATCTGATGCAGTCACTTGACTAAACCCCTCACTTCACCGTCCGGAACGGAGCTTCAATCAGGCGGTCTACATTGGCGGAGAAATCAACTATCTCGCTGAATTCAGGCCGAATCACGGTCGTCCGGCAGAATCTCTCAACGGCGCTCCTCCAGAAGGCTGTGGCGGAGTATCATAATAGTATTCAGTATGCTGTTGAATATGGTGGCAGAAATGTTCGATCAGACCTTGATAACGTGTAACTTATAGCGCACCGAAAGTCAAGGAACAAAAAAGACTTTTTTAGGCTCCCCCCCACTGTACTTGGCGAGCGCTGCCGCTGTCCGCCAAGGACGTTTGAAAGACTTCATTGTCGAACTGGGTTGCTGTAGCACGGCAAACCTCACTTACTGTCGTCCAAAGTTTGAGTCCACCTATCCCTGAGCTCATTCCATCCCTACGCCTAAAGACAGCCTCCGCGCTCAAGTAGTACATAACCGTCCTTCCTTCTGCTGGTACTTCATGCGGCCAAGCTTAAGATACTATCTCCACTCTCAGCGACTGGCCACAGTGAGCGAGGAGGCGTGGAGTGCTCAGAGTTCTAGTTCATCGCCGCTCAGTTGAACCGCCCCCTACTTGCTAAAGACTGCCCTGATGACGGAATAGCCGCTCAGTTGTCCTTCGTTGGGACGGCGGGCATTAATCGGAACTACATGTACTTTTTGCTGACCGCGCTCGTGCCCATGAATAATTCTGCTCTCCTTCATCACATTTTATTCATTGGGAGCACATACAGTCAACAGCAACCCATCTCGTAAGGTAAAACGCGTAAAAATTCACGAATGATGCAATTTCTGTGGTGCAGAAGCTCGACATGCACCAAAATCTGCACACTTCACGTAACCCCAAATTAGGACGCCAGATTTTTGAATTTTTCCTTTTTCAAGTGTTTATTCGTTCGTGTCTTTGTTGTTTTTCATATTCTTTTCTTTGAATTGGATGGAAATGCCATAAAGCGATTTGTGAGCCAGGGGTTGCCCAGGGACCGCAGGGCGGTGTAACTGTAAGGGAGCAATTTTGTTTGTGGTGTTCTTGAGGGCTCTTGTTGCTTTTTTTCCTTCATTGAGGAATTACTTATCAGCTACTGTTTCATAATTGATCAGCAATTATCCTTGACACTTTTATCGCGGGAGCTGTCTTTAGGCAAGAATCTTCATCACCTTTACGTGGAACCACTTTACACATGCAACCCTCTGAATGCCCCATACAGAAGAAGCGGCGAGTGACGCGTCTTTGCACTAGAACCTAATTGATTCAATGTAGCACTACTGTAGTGTGCCAAAAACCAGCCACGAACAATTTATACTACTTCTTGACGTGGCCGCAGTGTACCTAGGTACCATTTGGGCTACTCTTTTATGGTGCGTAGTGATCTCCACTTCCTCGAATTTGATATCGCATTCTTTAATTTTACGCTTCGAAATGTAATTGGCTCGGGTTGGGGTCCCTGTGTGATCAGAACCAAAAGAGCCTAATAGAAATAATCGGCATATTGTATTATTACCCTATACCCGTACTTACGCTTTACTGCCCCAACCATCCAGAATTGAGCCACTTTTTGACCGACTTTTTTCTCCGTGGACAGATTTGGCTCAAATGTTGTCTCCTGGGGTAGTTTGACCTGAATACGAATATCACATTCGCTCAGCCCGAAACTTCCTGGCGCCCGCGCCACAGGCGCCGGTGATTTGGGGTATTTTGGCGCCAGCGCCTGTAGCTTGGGCGCCAGGAGGTTTCGGGCCGAGCGGATGTGATATTCGTGTTCAGGAGGTGAGACTACCCCTAGAACACGATTTCATCGACTTTAGTGATTCAGGGGAATTTTGGCGCCAGCGCCTATGGCGCGGCACCAAATACCCTAAATCCTGTAGGTGAGTCGTGCCCCAGGCGTGAGGTGCGGGTTCGACTCCCGCCTGGGGCACGACTTTTGCCCACAACTCAGCATTCTTGTGATAACATTCGGAACGCGTACTGCGGCGTTAAACAGCGGTTATCATAACAAGACAGCCACTTCTGCCAACGCAGAAAAAGTCGGTCAGAAACTGGCCTGTTTTCGGAAGATTGGGGCAGTAAAGGCTAAACAGTGCCGAAAAATCTTCCAAAAATTAATCACTGGAGCCAGAGGCTCACCTTTTCATAAACATTGTTGGACTGAGAATCTGACCCTTACGACTTGATTAATTTGAGTATGTGTTTGGGATCTGTGAGTGTTTGTCTGGATACTCGAAGGGTCGTGACCTCGCCTAGAGTTAGAGGTAGAGTCAGATTTGGAAAGCATTTCCTAAACATCACCGAGGAGACTAATCCTGTCTCGTCATCTAGTATCTTTCCGATCACTACCCGGTAGTGCCCCCCCCCTTGTCTCGCCAGTAAAGCAGTGCGTACCAATTCAGAGAGCGTAGTTCCTTCAGAAAGATCTCACGCTATTTTGTTGGCTTGTTCATTAACAAAACTGAGGATTATGTTGTGGGAAAAGCGAATTCATTTTCTCATAGTAGGTATTGCAGAATCATGGAGAT